TATTTGTAGAAAAGAGAAAGAGAAGCAACATTACGATGATATGATAATGGTCGGAGGTTGGCTGCAAGAGCAGGTCCAACTATGTTTACAATACGTTTTTGCACCTTGTCTAAAAGAGAAAGGGCATCATTAGAAGATCCGCAGATATGGCAACAGTATTCCATACAAGGCCAAACTTGAGATTTATAGAGATAGAGAATAGAATCCAGAGCAAGAAAGTATCGAGCTCGATAAAGAGATTTTAGCAGATTTAGCAGATGCTAATTTTGCAACGGATTTGATATAAGGTTTCCAAAAAGATCAGAAGTAAGAGTTAACCCTAGAAGATGAAGGGTAGATGATTCATCAAGTACATTACAGATGCTGCTTTCCAGCAGGCTGGAAAACAAGACTCTGATAAGCACTTGTTGAATAGTTTTGAAAGGATAGACGACAGCTCCGGAGAACACTTCTGCAAGACTATAACTGGTATGTTGTCCGGGCCGCAAGCTGTAGAAGAGTCAAAGCAAGAAATCACTTTAGATACAGAAGCTGGAGTGATACGGATGTCGAGTAATGGATCAACCTGTTTGACAGCTATATCAGGTAGAACGCAACTAGTGGAATCAAGAGATGATATTGATGAAAAGTTCTTAGCAAACAATTCAGCTTTGTCTTTAAGTGACAAAGTCTGAACCATACAAAAGAGGTGGAATTACAGACTTGCCTTTATTATTGATACTATTAAAGATAGTCCAGAAGTCACGAGAGCCTAATTTTTGTGATGAAATATGAGATTTCATGATCTGAGAATAGCGGGCTTTGGCGTTAGACAAAACCTTTTTACAATGGTTCCTAGCAGTAATAAACACATGTTTGTTTTCTGGAGAATTGTTTTGCTGATAGATATGGAAGTAATGGTTTTGATTGGCAATTGTAGCAGCACAATGGGAGGCAAACCAAGGAGAAGAGTGAGGCTTGACCTGGAATCATTGAGAGGGAAAATAGGATTCCATGCCAATCTGAATCCACAAAGTGGATTCAGATTGTAAGAAGCACATTTATCAACAGGAAGACGAAAGATTTCTACCCAAGGGCCATCACAAAGAAAATCATGGAAAGAGTCCCAGTCAGCTTTAAAGTAGTTGTAAGATGTGCGATGAAAGGGGGATGATGATAAAGAAGAATGAGATAATAGTTTTAGAGAGATCAAACTGTGATCAGAGGCACCTAAAGGTGAATGTGGAGAAACTGAGCACTGACTAGGATCAGAAACAAGACACAAGTTGAGAAGGTAAATGAGTCGGGTTGTCTGGAAAGCAAGTTGGAAAGTTGACTATTTGAGTTAGAGATTGAGAAAGTCAAAAGTTGTGGGCTTTAATGCCTGCAGAGTCACTGACATTAGAGCCAAGCCATTCAGTGTGATGAACATTAAAGTCACCGACAACAACAATATTGGCTGATGGATAAAGAGAGAGTGCTTGGTCAATATGATCAGAAATAACATCAAGAAGAGTGCAGTCTTAAGATGAAGAAGAGCGATATAGAACAAAGAGAAAGGTGATAGAGTGAAGTGGTGCTAAACGAAAGCACATAAAAAAGTAGTCTGTGGATTCAAACCTAGTGTCCTGACAAATGGGTGAATTCTTATGAATGTAAATGCCCAGGCCAAGCATGACTATTGGAGTCTTTACGAATTAAAGGAAGATAACCATCAACACTAAGATCACAAGATAAGATAGCTGAACTCAAATTAGTCTCACAAAGAAGCAAGTAGGTCTTGTGAACTTTGCAAGAGATAAGACTCAACAAAAAAAAAGTTACTTCGAAGACAATGAATATTAGTGAATGATAGGTTTAGCGAATTTGGTGATGACTGTGGCTTTTTGTGTTTTATAGTTTTTGTTACTTTATTCATTTTTAAATTTGTTAAAGAACTTGACTTGAAACATAGATAGTACTCTGTACACTGTTTAATAGCCCAAGAAAATGCCTCATTACTATTAATAAACCCTAAGCCGTAACAAAGGGCTCCAATGTGGCCTTGGCAATGCACACCAAAAGTACAAACAGGGACACCATCCATGCACAACATGGCACTGTTAGTACTTTGATATTTTACAACTGTTGATGGAATCAGCCTCTCTGAGAGCTACCATAGAGCTCGGGAAACCTGACTACCAGCCGGCCTCAAAACCATAAAACTGAATTTTAGAACTGTACCCTTATTAGGAGATAATAGAATGAGTTGCCTAGTCATAAAAACAGAGACACTAGCAAAACCCATGCATCAAGTCAAGAAGATCTAGCGTTCAACATCCTAAACTGAAAACAAAGTATTAAAAAAACATCTGTGCGAGCCTAGAGGAGAGTTTCCACTCATCCTTTTTTTCACGGGAGCGGGAAAGGGAAGGTAAAAATAATCACGCAGGCATGCCTTTTATAAGTTTTAATTTGTCCAAAGTAAAACTACCCATGCTCACGTGATTTTTTTTCCTATTCCTATCCCGTTTCCGTAGAAAAACGGATGAGTGGAAACTCACCTTAATAGATTGAATTTATTCAATAAATACAATATATATTTTCAGTATAGACCATAATTGACTCATATAGTTGCTAGACCAAACGTCATTTGATTTTTATTAAAATTAATAAATCTTAGTAAAATTACATTCTATTGGAAGACAATACAACAAAGTAGGTTAAACTACAACTTATTGTAAATTTAACAATGATAGATATTATTTTATAAAACTTCAAACTTGTATTTTATTTTTATTCTAGGAAATTTTACATTTGACCCACTGTACCATGTGTGAGGTCCAATCAATTATGTAATTTCTTAAAAAGAGAAAAATATAGTTGGTTGCCCCCTCCCTTATCTGTTTTTACACTGGATAAATAAAGGGGCAGTTTATAGTTTCGCATTATTGTATAAATACTCATAAATAAATTTGGATAATCTTAAAATTGCAATTTAAGCATTACTTATTTAAATATTTTTATATGCCAGATTTTATAGCACAGTAGACACATTGTAATAAAATAATACAAATTAAATAACTTTAATATTGATTTAATGATTTGATTCAGCAAATTATTTACCTATAGCAACATTTTTTTTGTACATAAAATGTTGTAAAACATAAATAACAGCAACCAAAGATGGTCTTCACAAAAAATTACTTTGTTATAATACAGTTTATTTAAATAGTGGTCTCTAACTGTTAACAGAATTCTCATACTGTTGTACCTGTTTTTAAGTAATAAGAGATTGTTTTATATTTTGTAATGTTAGTGCAAATTTGATCTCAAACGATTCTTTTAATTTTTTTTTCATGTAAAAAATTAAATAAAGATATTTATCATGTATAAATATCTTTTTTGGCTGCATTTAATCAAATATACCATGACACAGATTCAGTTGATCTAGATGCTAAATGCAGATTATGATATTTATTCCTAAATTTAATTTTTTTGTTACCCTGATATAAATTCTCTAAAAAAATTTTAAACTATCTACATGTATTTTTATGATAATCTTACGACCTAACTGCTTTAGTTCAAGCAGTTAAGTCGTAAGATTTAGTTCAAGACCAATAGAACAGTATAAGTAAGCTTTAGTTCAAGACCAATAGAACAGTATTCATGATTATTTTCAATTAAAAAAAATCCTTCTACCCCTATATATCTTCATATATTAAATAGCTTCAATGAATAAGATACAAACAAATAAATGATGAAAAAAAGTTAAAACAAACTGCAATATATATATATATATATATATATATATATATATATATATATATATATATATATATATATTGATAAAATTGCTGCATTTTATAACAAATAACTAGAATCTGACAATGAATCTATACTTTTCTAAATAAAAACTTTTTAAAATAATTATTTTAATAAAAACATTTTTAATTTCTTTGACCACAGTCATTTGTCAACTAATGGAAAACATTGTTAATGACACAACAATAAATCGTTTTTAAAAAACAACTTAATAGCACCAGAAAAACACAAATTTACAAAATCAAATAATTCTATAATGAACCTTCTTGAAGCATTGGGTATGATAAAAGAAACAAAAAATACAGAAAAGGTGCTGATACACTTGATTCAATTTCACATTCAAGACCACTCTTGTAATTGAAATCATCTATTATTATGGGTTAATTATTGCAATGGTGCAAAGTTTTTAACAAATCAAAAAACAGAGAGTTATTTATGGATTTTTTGAATCAGAAATAGTTTGAAATGGGGTACCGCAGAAATAAGTAATGGGATTTTGTTTTTGCTATTTATAACTTATACAAATGTAACACAAAAATTGAATAACAAAGCAAAATTTTAAGCTGATGATTTTAAAGTAATTGCGGTAATAGACAAAATCAAAGTAAATATCAGTTTTAACAAAGATAAATGTAAAATTATGCATATTGGTCATGAAAATCAAAAATAAAATATAATTTAAAATTCTTTTAAAACAGATATCATTTTTCATGAACTAGTAGTAACATTATTAAAAAGTGACCTCAATGTTTAAATTTAGAACTATTTAAAATTGGAAAACTATATTGAAATAATAGGCTGATAAAATTTTGGGAAGTTGAGTAAAAAGACAAATTAGGTATGCTAAAATACAAATACAAATTTTCTCTTAATATGGTTACAAATTGGACTTTTTAGACAAATGGAAAATATACTCTTAGATATATTTATAACGAAATCAGAGTAAAAATCAGAGGTTTTTAGAAGTTATAAAGTGAGAGACTCATGAGTGTATTTCAGGCACTTCCTTTTAGTAAGTTTGACTTAAAAACTATAGTTTTATATATATATATAAAATATATAAAACTATTGTATACTTGGGTATAAATTTTAATTATACTCAAATTTTATGCAAAATAAATATTTCAAAACCATGCTCTAACTTTGACCCTAACTATAAAGGTTATTTGATTCTTCTACAAGTAATTTCTATATATTTTATACATCATGTACCTTACCAGCTAAAGGCAATCCAGAACTATCTCCACATACAACACCTGTAACACTGTCTTGTTTCATTCTAAAAAACATTATTTGAAAAGAATTTGCATACAATATACAAACTATTAAAAACATCTATTGCTTTTTTTATTAACTTTATTTTCTATTAGATTATCACAATTATAGAAATTAGTGAAAGAAAAGTATACAAATTAATAAATAAACTATTTTCCTACAATTTTTCTAGTTGTGCTTGAAACTTCGATTCCATTTATGATATATATTAAAAATTACTATTTAAATTGCAAGAAAATATTAAACATAAACACAAATTTTTGTCAGCTTAAAATTAGAAAGTCACGTCATTAAAACGGCAATTGGAAGGCATTATGAATTTCGATTCCTAATCTCCCGATTCCAGCGATTCTCAAGGAATCGTAAGAACCCTAATTCTCTACCGTTTTTAACGATTACAATTCTTTTTAAAACGACTTCTTTTCTTTTATTAATTCTCCCTTGATAATTAAAAAAATATTTAAAAACACTCTTTGCCGTTTATATAATATACACTCGTTATCGTGATTTTATTTTGTTTAATTTACGTTAAATTTTCACATTTGCGTTTAATATCATCGTCGAAGTTAACCAAACTGTGAAGGAAACCCTTAACAAAAGTAAACATTGCAAATACGCAAAATACTACCACAAAATTTCAATTGATATTTGAACCGGCGATAAGTACTTCTATGATAATTTTATTTGCTTGTTTTATTATAATCATTATTGTTAGTGTTATTATTTTTTATTATTATAAATGCTGTTTTTATTTCAGAATATAGTTTTATTATCATGCTGAAACTTAAGAAAAACGAGGCATCGAGCTGTTTTGCAATCAATTTAAATGACACTAACTTTGCCATATGCAACTTTTGCAAAACAGTTATATCCAGGGGTGTTGGCAGAATTTCTCAGTCATACACAATATCGAACATGCTAAAGCATTTAAAAACTTTTCATAAATCTGTTAATAAAAATTAAAAACAGGATAAAACTAGTATTATTTTACTAGTATTTGATTTTGATATATGCGAAGATAACTCTGCCGCAGGATCATCTTCTAAATCCAGTCCTAACCCTGCTTTTGAAACTCCTATGAACATACCAAGGGAACCTCAATCTACTACACTCACATCCGTATTTGCAAGTCTCAGGCCTAAGTCTGATGATGCGGAGATCAATACTATTAGCTCTTCTTTTACACTTAGTTCTGTAAAAATGAAGCCTAGACCTTCATCTCTTAAACAACTGACAATACACCATTTTGTTACTTTACAATACATACATTTTGTTTGCAAAGACCCAGCCTCTCACATCTACAACTCCGAATGCAATAAAAATTACAAAACTTATTACTTTGATATATATTAATATAGACAAAAAACCAACCTGTTAGTATAGTAGATGATCCTGGTTTCAAAAGGTTTCTACAATTTTCGGAGCCAAGATATACGATACCAAGCAGAAAATACTTCTCGACTATTGAAATTCCTAACATTCATCAGAAGGTATCAAGTAAAATTCGTTTCTTGGCAAAGAATAGTAGGACACTTTAAACATTCGGTTAAGTTGTATAAACCTTTGAGACAATCTCAGGAGAATTCAAGATGAGCCAACTAGATGATATAGTATCTTCCACATGCTGAACCGTTTAATTAAACAAAAAGATGCAATTCTATTGGTAACGCCACATTTCCCAAAAGCTGCTCGACAAAACAAAGAATTGTCAACCGAAGAATGGGTTCCTCAGTTTGGTTACTCTCGTTGCTGCTTTAAAATTTTTGAAGACGTCACCATTACTGTGATTTACTAATAAATGCAGTTATCATGTCTATTGATCGCATCAAGGACATACGAGAACGAACTTATATATATGCGTCAACGAGTAAGCGTTTTGAGTATTTTTTTTATTATATTGAATATTTTTAAATTAGTTATTTTGAAAAAAAAACTAAATAATGGCGTCGCTTTTTTCAGAGAAATTAGATTTTCATAATTTAAACTTAGATCTTTTTGAGGACAACTTTATAAATAATCTATCTGAAGAAAACATAAATATTTTTCAAGAAACTCAAATCAACTTAATTAACACACCGTATATTGATCCTTTTGATTTTAAAGTAAAAACAGATGATGGTTCATTTTCTGTATTACACATAAACATTAGATGCATGCAGCAAAATTTTGATAAACTTAAAGAATTTTTAAATATTTTAAATTACACGTTTGACGTCATATCTCTTTCAGAGACTTGGCATGGATACAGAAAGTACTCTTGAATTAAATTCTAATACACGGTTCTCTGATTTGACTCAAATCAGGGATTTGGAGCGGCTCCGGAGCTGAAGCCGGAGCTATCCGGAGCTGGTGATTTTACATGGAGCTGAGGCGGAGCTGGAGCTTAAATTTTTCCTGCTGGAGCAGGCTCCGGAGCCAGCTCCAGCCTTTAATATTTTGAAATATCAAAGTTCCATAAAGTCATATTTTATATAATGAAATTTTTTTAAAGAAGTTAAACAATTATATACATATAATTATATATATATATATATATATATATATATATATATATATATATATATATATATATATATATATATATATATATATACACACACACACACACATATATATATATATATATATATATATATATATACACACACACACATATATATATATATATATATATATATATATATATATATATATACACACACACACATATATATATATATATATATATATATATATATATATATTTATATATATATACACACACATATATATATATATATATATATATATATATATATTTATATATATATATATATATATACACACACATATATATATATATATATATATATATATACACACACATATATATATATATATATATATATATATATATATATATATATATATATATATATATATATATATATATATATATATATAATATACATAGTGTCATAGTGTATATTGAGGCACGAAAAATTTCCATATTTTTAAAATTATGCAAGAGCTTTTGATATTAAATATCATCCAATTATTTTGTGTAATATGTCATATTATTGAGTATGATAAGTTACTTTAAAACAAAACTTCTAAAAATTGTCAATGATTGGTTTACGAAAATATACTTTATCCATGTGTTAAGTCACGTTATTTGTTTTAACGTTTTTAATTAGTTGAAACATTTTTAAAATAGGTTTAAGGTGGTAGTACCCTTTAAGAGGAAAAAAATTTAAAACTTGATATTATATGGGAACATTTATGTTTTTCTGAAATGTTAGATTAAGTTATTTCAAAAAATAACAAAATTATTTTTTTTTACCCCCCTGCTCAATAATTATGCGCATAAATTAGCAAAATTTAGGCAAAAAAATTGACCTTTTTTTAACAAGAATATCTTGAGAACCATACATATTCTACAAACCAAATTTTGTAAGTAGTTTTATATATGTTCAAAAAATGTGCTGAATTAAAAATTATATAATAAACAATATTTAATAACTTTAAAATCATTATATTTTATCAATAAAAAGAAAAAAGTATAAGTACAGCTTGCTAAAGTTCAAATTTTAATACTTTAATATATAAAAAAAGTTAATTTTCTTTAGTTCAGCACATTACAAATACATTCAAGAATAATTGCTGAAAATTTGAAAAAAACTCAATGAGCAGTTAAAAAGCTATCTTTGTTAAAAAATTAAAAGATACACAAAAAGTTAAACGCAAGAAAAATGCAATTAAAAAAAATACTAAAAACACATTAAGTTTTTTTACACAATCAAACCTACTAAAAACCACCACTGTTGTATGCAACATCTTCTACTTCATTATGTTAGTCAGTAAAGCCTTTTTTAATGGCCCCTAACTTTTTCCTCCTGTTTTTTGTGGCACCTGTACTTTTTATCTCATTCTGTTTAATGCGTACATAATCTACATTTAGAGAACTTTTAGTTGTAAAATATCCAGGCAAAACATTACATTATTTAAATGCTGGTAGTAAACCCTGAACTCCATTAATTATTAACCCTGAACTCCATTAATTATAAAGCTAATTATTGTATAGGCCAAAGCAATCTCATTAACTGTTCTTTCCACATGAACTCTTTTGAGTGCGCGAGTCCAAACCATCTCATCTAGCAATTCATTAACATTTTGAGTTTAACCATGTAAACCTTTCTTGAGCAACGCATCACTGCCAAGAACTATTTCTAAATAATTTCTTTTTTGTATGGATTTGCATCACAAACTTGCACATAAGAATTGGTATCTCCATCAGCAATGTATTTCATGTACTCGATTTTAAGCTCTTTGACAGATCGGTTGAATATTTGTAGAGCGCCTAAAAATTCCATACTTCCTGAGCTACCTTATGATTAATGTGTGATCTTCCAGTTCTCGTAAGCTGGAATACCTATCTTCTTAAACATATCTTACAGGGGTAACAACTTTTTGTTTTAGCAACAGCATCAATACAATTTCCATGAGATATTGCTGTGACTATACTATTTATTGAGAAGTTTCTTCTGTGCTGAACTATCTATGGAACCATGATGAACCATCTAAACTAACATCAACATTGACAGTTGATGATTCATCATAATTTTTAATTTCAAAAGTTTTTCATTACATATGTTCTGTTTGTACTCACTCTAGAGGCTTCAAAATAAGCAACAGGAAGTTTATTATTAATGTTATGGTAACCACGTTTTGTCATACCAAAAAACATATTCATTAAATAACAAAAAGTAATAATTGCTATGTATCCTTGCCCAATATCTCGAAAAGTTAACACAGTACATAGGTTAATTTCCCTCATTTTTTACCTTTGATTACTTCATTTTTATTTTCTATTCATTTTGAAGTTAAAAAATTTATCGTCCATGTAAAATCTTGACAAGAAGTGTGAGAAAGAATCTCTTTTTGATTAATATCGTGTACAATGTTGATTGACGAATAACATTCTAGAGCATCAATTGCCTTCAACAAACTTGAAAATAAATATATGTTTATAATTGTGTTACACTCTTTTTCTATATTATAAAGTTTTCTACATCTAGATAAGTTTTTTTTTCCAGATACCGATTAACTTACATTGTTTGGTGAATGTGCAGACAAAACAGTTTGTTGTAAAGCATGTGAATTATTTAGAGAATATTTTTTTAATTTATGAAGTTTTCTTTTATTTACTCTTGCTTTAGCATATCTATTTTTTTGAACGCATTTATAAGGAAACTTATCAAAAACAACCCATCAATGAAAAAACATTTGTTAAAGAGTAATTATCTATATCTTACAGAAACGAATATGAGAATTTAATTTATG